CTTACTTCTTCAACATCGCCGCCGAGTTCTGCGGACAGACACTCATCATAGACGCCGACTATTACGCAAACATCGCTCGCTTTGTGAACCACTCGTGTGAACCCAATCTGTCCTCACATATGGTTGTGTTCGACGACAAGCAGTTGGTCCCGAGGATCGGGTTCTTCGCCAACCGAGACATTAAGGCGTACGAAGAGCTCACCTATGATTACAATCGGGAAGTGCTGTCCATCGATGGCAACGGATTATATAAAAATAACAATACGGCTGACGATAGCAATTCGGTGGACAGCGGCTATACGTCCCCATCGGCCGGTGCCGGTCACGAGTCGGCGTGCCTTACGAGGTGTCTGTGCGGAGCCGCCAAATGCCGGCGCTTTTGCTGACGTTTTGCCATTTTTATCACTATTTTTATAGGCATTCCCTCGGAGTTTAATTTAATCACAAAGTTTTTAAGATTTCATTTCATTACCACTTCATGTGTTCATAATTGAAGAGCTTTTACACAATTTTAGAATTAAATTAATTAATGATTTTGTTAATCAAAACATAATTCAAAGTTTAGTACAATNCTGCAACTCTCGCTTGGATTCGCGGATCTCTTGATTGAGCGCCTGCGTGGACGACATGACCGATGGATCAGTTGTTGACAGCGAGATCTTCAGCGCGAAACACGTGCTCGTCGTGCAGTGGTTGACAATCAGCTGTTGTTTACAACCAAACACTACGACGACTGCTACAAAAGTTTTTACACTCAATACGTGCGCCCTTTCTATGACTCGCTATTGTAATATTTAAACAGGAGTTATGTTTTATGTTTATTTAACTCAGGTTTACTTATATGTGCATGGTCATAAATACCCCCATAAACTTAATAGTCATGGTGATTTATCGCATTTGAGTGGTACATTGAACAGCCCTAAGTTAGGGTACATTGACCCCCACTGATAGCCAGTGAATACTGTTTACCACAACAACACCTACTCTACTGTTCACCACGTGTTGCAAATCACTGTAAACAAGAGGTCAGCTCATGAGTCGGTGGTAGTGGACAGGTATGAGGTATGAGACACTCAACACCTATGTATCACTTGTGATGATAATTGGTGTCTGACATGAAGATAGCGAGCGGTCTATGGTATGGACTACAGCGATAGCGACTGCCAAGTGATCTCTGATGAGGAGGACGACTACGAAACAGATGGTAACGCCGGGAGGTTTACCATCCGAGACGCGCACCTGTTATCCGACGACCAGTTGATCCAATTGGCCCACAATTGTCGGTTGGATTGTCTCCAACCCATTCAGGGCCTCATCGACGCCGCCCTTCAGATGTCACTCAGAGTAGATCCCCATCCGATCAGTCTTTTCAAAAACACGACTATATGTCCCATGAATCACAAGAAGCGGAAGAGGAGGTTCAAGATGTCGACAACTAGACCGCCGAAGCAGACAAAGGTGGACCTCCAGAGCGAGTATGTCTCGGATGAGCTCTACGCCATCGAAACCATTGTAAACGCGAGGCTCGACCCCGAGTCCAGACTCTTGTTTGAGATCAAGTGGAAGGGCTATGAAGAGTCTGAAAACACGTGGCAAACGGTCGATGATCTCCAGAATTGTCATAAAGACTACGAACGCTATTATCGCCAACAGTTCGCCGGCAAAGAAGTCATTGATTACAACATCGAAGACTTTGACGCGTTTGCGAAACTACTGTCCAAAACAGCTACCGGTGCGGACGCCCCGGACGTGGCTGTAGTTCTTAAGCTGAATGGCTTCCGCATCGAACACTACGAGAGAACAGACACTCATTTACAGCAATTGCGGTCTAATCTGAAGACATATGTGACGGCAATGAAGATTATCGCCCAATCGATGGACTCGATTGAGACCAGAAATCGAGATCAGTCTTGGCCGCAAAAGATACTCATCCAGTATTTGGTGAAACACCTGAACATTGAGACCAATTTCGGTGATCTCAGAAAGTTCTTAGAGTTTGTTGACAATCGCAAAGAGTCTGCCATTCGGCTCAAGGAATGGGAGGACGATATCAACGATCAACTCAAGGAGATTGGGTTCACGAGTGACAAGATATCGGTCGAGAATGACGTGGACCTGGAGGTGCCGCCAGAAATAAAATATCTGAACAAATACCACAATCAGGGGAGGGTTAAGATCGACAGGTGTCATGTGGAACGGGTCCGATGCAAGTGTCCCAACGACTGTAAGGGCCCGGAGTGTCGATGCGCTCTCCACATCTTCGAGGACATGGGCTTTCAGTCGTCGCACGTGTTGCACGAGTGCAACGACCGGTGCCAGTGCTCAGCCGCATGTCCTAACCGGAGGCTACAAAAGGGCTTAATTGGCACCCAATTAGCGGTATTCAAGACTGAGTGCAAGGGTTGGGGTGTAATGAGCCGCCGGGCCATCCGTAAGGACTCGTTTGTCTTTGAATACTTGGGCGAAATCATTGACTCCGTGGAGACCACCAAACGAGACATGACTTACTTCTTCAACATCGCCGCCGAGTTCTGCGGACAGACACTCATCATAGACGCCGACTATTACGCAAACATCGCTCGCTTTGTGAACCACTCGTGTGAACCCAATCTGTCCTCACATATGGTTGTGTTCGACGACAAGCAGTTGGTCCCGAGGATCGGGTTCTTCGCCAACCGAGACATTAAGGCGTACGAAGAGCTCACCTATGATTACAATCGGGAAGTGCTGTCCATCGATGGCAACGGATTATATAAAAATAACAATACGGCTGACGATAGCAATTCGGTGGACAGCGGCTATACGTCCCCATCGGCCGGTGCCGGTCACGAGTCGGCGTGCCTTACGAGGTGTCTGTGCGGAGCCGCCAAATGCCGGCGCTTTTGCTGACGTTTTGCCATTTTTATCACTATTTTTATAGGCATTCCCTCGGAGTTTAATTTAATCACAAAGTTTTTAAGATTTCATTTCATTACCACTTCATGTGTTCATAATTGAAGAGCTTTTACACAATTTTAGAATTAAATTAATTAATGATTTTGTTAATCAAAACATAATTCAAAGTTTAGTACAATTTGTGATGAGATAAATGTGATAATTATTATTAATCAACAGTTAACCAGAATTTTGTAATTATTTTATACACAATGAGTTGATTATTGATTAAACCTTTTTGATGACTAGTTTTGCCATTTTATGGACGATTGTCTCGACGAGTTTGGACTCGTTTTTGAATAAATAACTCAAACCGTCGCTGCATTTGGTCTCAATCTCCAGATAATTATCTGCTATGAAGTCAATGAGTCTCTCCTTAAGAGTGTTTGCGTTGTATTTGATGGCAAACGACAGCAAATCGATGGCTGACTCGACCGCCAGGTTTTGGCACAAAATCTCTTCGCAGATACTCTTGAGGTCTGTTATGCCGTAGAATTCGCCGCAAACGAGCAGTTCTTCGGGGAATGAATCGATTTGTGGTGCGATTCCAGTGTAGATGAAAGACAACAGTTGTTCAAAGACATCGACATCCATGTCGTCGATGTTAACACGATTCTCGTGACACTCCTTCATATCTGTGGCGAACATCGCGCTGAAGACCTGCAAATATGGACACAATCAGTGAGTATATCACTCGTGAGTACTGCATGTCTGGTCTCTAACCCTCGACCTGACGCTAAGGACACACTTGTGTGCCGTAAACTCCCGGCCCTTAACCACGAGCTTCACATCACCGAAACCATCGCCAGTATCACTGATCATCGACTTGAGGTCATCCACCAAATGATTGCCCACTTTATCGCTGATCGATGGCTGACTATCGGCGTGAATGATCTCGAAGTAGACCACGAAGTTGGTCTCGTCCTGGAAGTAGTCATCGAAGACAATCTCTTCGCCCAACGGTTCCCCGGGCTTCACGAGCGAGCGTTTGCTAAATATTGTGACCAACTCTTTGGCGTTTGTCCACTCATTCAACGCCACTTTGAAGGCGTTGAACTCGATGTCCACCGATTGTCTGCCATCGGGACAGTGGTCCAGAAGCAGGTGAATACCTATACGACTCTTACGCCACTGGATGTGCCGCAAGTCTAGTCTTAGAAACCATTTGGTGTTGTTTGTGGTGACGAAGATGGGACTCTTGACGATACCCTGAG